TTTTCATTCTTTGCACTCCTGCAGCAAGAGAGGGATCGCTTGTTAACTGAAGTTGAAAACCTGGCTGCTTGTTCTGATGGTCAAACACAGAAATTACATGACATACATTCCCAAAAACTTAAAACCCTTGAGGCTCAGGTGACTAAATTCCTCTCTTTCCTGAACGGCCCTGTTTTTTGTATGAGAAAGAAATCCCTCCAATCTAAGTTGTAAACATTTTAATTTTTTTAACCTATTTATCCCAGATTCTTGAACTTAAGAAGAAACAGGAAAACCAGGTTCAGCTACTAAAGCAAAAACAAAAAAGTGATGAAGCAGCAAGAAAATTGCAGGACGAGATTCAATTCATAAAGGCTCAGAAGGTATATTCTTTATTTCTTGCGTATATTTACTTCCGTTATTTTTTCTCCATCTTCTGAGTCTTGTAATTTGAAGGTTCAATTACAACAAAGGATGAAACAAGAGGCAGAACAATTTCGACAGTGGAAAGCATCTCGTGAAAAGGAGCTCCTACAGGTAATTCAACTACCAGAGGTCCAGAATATAAAGAAAGAAAGAGAAAAGAAAAATTTCCCCTGTTCTATTGTAGTTTTACTTGAGAAGAATTTGGTATTAGCTAAATATTCTACTCTCCTTTATTATTTTTATCTGATTATACAACTATTATCTAATATTTGACGGTCCGAGGTCATTTGACCTCTGAACTTAGTCAGCAAATAAGTAAAACTCAAACAATTTCAATTAAGAAGATGACAAGATCTTTAAAGGAAATTCTTCTAATCAAACATTGGATTGTGGGGTTTTCTATTAGATACATAAAAGGGACAGATTGGTGGATTATATATTATATGGGAGGGAAGGTATCAGAAGCATACGAAGTCTACCTTGCAATTGGTCATTAAACGTGATAGTCTGCGATGCTATGTTAAAATGTGAAATTAGTTTTGTAGCATAGAGAAACTGAATCACATCTAATTCATCATCCATACATTTGGGAAGGAAAAGGACCTTCTCCTAGCCACATGAAATACCTACATAAAAGATCACAGTGTTCAAAATGATGGTGTCCATACTAGGTCAAGGGATTGGTTTGATTTGTCCCCTCATATAGTGTCCCTATATTCTGTACAGAAAGATTGGGTTGTGTTGGCTTCCAGTGTTACAGTTTTTGGCTGCAATAATAAAAAGTGTATTTCGTCTCATTATGCATAACTTCTGAGTGGATCAATTATGTATCTTTATATCTGTTATTCACTATTTTTGTTGACAACTTTGCAAAACAGCTAAGAAAGGAGGGTAGGAGAAATGAATATGAAAGGCACAAACTGCAAGCTCTAAATCAGCGGCAGAAAATGGTGAGTACTTCATTGCTGCACGCCTTCTTATTCATCATCTATCAGTCTTATTTTCTGCACCTCTGACCAAGCACGTTTATCATGATGGTTAGATAGTACTATAGTAGGATATTATGGTAGAAAGTAGGCTTCAATACGGGTTAGATGAAATGGGCGTCTCTTTGGTAAGTGGTAACAACGCTCAAATGGTTTGGATGCTTAGTTTTGAATTCTAGGTTTCCATATAAGAGATTTTAAAAATATTTGTTACTTTTCTTTTGATGGATTAGCAATTGGAGTTCTGCATGTAAAATTTGTGCCACCTTTTGGACTGGTAAATGTTATTTCTTGCCATGGCCATCTAAATCAATATGCACGTATTGGTTTCAGGTTCTTCAAAGGAAAACAGAGGAGGCTGCAATGGCCACCAAGAGGCTAAAAGAACTACTTGAAGCTCGTAAATCTAATGGTCGTGAAAATTCAGGTATCTTCTTAACGAGTAACTTTTGTAAGGCAATGCGAGTTTATATAACTTGAAAATGCATTGTTTGTTCCTAAGAACCATTTTCCTGCTTATATCATTGAATTAATTTGAAATTCAATTATTTTTTGGTTATTTTTTCAGGTATTACGAATGGAAATGGAATGAACGGGCAGGTATTATTTTCTGGACCGTTTCATTGATTTCCTCCCTATTATCTCATCTCAATTCCGTTTCTAATGTAATCTTCTCTTTTCAGAGCAATGAGAAATCTCTACAACGCTGGCTTGACCATGAGTTGGAAGTGATGGTGAACGTGCATGAAGTTCGTTTTGAATATGAAAAGCAAAGCCAAGTGTATGTGTTTTACTGGACGTCAGATTGTATTTTGAGTGAAATAAACTTTCAATATAATATATATTGATTATTCTGCAATGCAGGCGAGCTGCACTGGCGGAAGAGTTATCCATCCTAAGGCAAGTGGATGAGTTTGCTGCAAAGGGCCTCAGCCCTCCAAGAGGAAAAAATGGTTTCGCTAGGTAAGAATTATGTTCTAACTAAATAATTCACCTTCTAGGTTCTCACATAATGAAGTGGATAGTTTATAATTTGTCTTTTGCATAATCAGAGTTTCCTCCATGTCACCAACTGCAAGAATGGCCAGAATAACTTCACTTGAGAACATGCTAAGCATATCCTCAAATTCCCTTGTGGCGATGGCTTCACAACTTTCAGAGGCAGAGGAAAGGGAGCGTGCTTTCACCAACCGTGGACGTTGGAACCAGTTGCGCTCCATGGGAGATGCAAAGAATTTGCTTCAATACATGTTCAATTCTCTTGCAGATGCTCGGTAATTATTCTGTTCCTTTAGCAGATATTAAAGATACATTTTAATTTCTTGGATTGTAAGTACTAGTGCTTCATTAATCTAAAAACTGGAAAAGTCTTCATAACTTATTCATTGGACAAGCATCAGCTTTAACTTCCTGCACCTGTTAATCACCTGTTAATCACCTCAGAACTAAATTATAGATTTCACTATGCTCGTCATTTACAGGTGCCAACTATGGGAAAAAGAACTTGAAACTAGGGAAATGAAGGAGCAACTGAAAGAACTAGTTGGACTATTGCGGCAGAGTGAGACACGGAGAAAGGAAGTGGAGAAGGAGCTAAAATTGCGAGAGAAGGCTGTTGCGTTTGCATTGGCTACATCTGCAACGGTGAGATTTATGTTCCCTAAATTTGGCTTTTCCATGCTGCATGTATAAAGCTACGAAATCATACTTTTGTTTACCTGTCAAGGTCTATATTTCTGCTTAGTTGCTGATTTGGTATGAATACAAACCGTTCAAATTGAAATATTAAAAATCGCTGGTACTTCATACATTGATGCTGAAGTTATAGGACCTAATCAAAATCTCTTTTAGGACCTAGTAAGACCAATGCTGCGAAGTGTTCAATGAAATCTCAGTTCAAAAAAATATTCAATGAAATCTCATAATGTGGTGCATAGTCATGGACAGTAACGGAAATGGCATAAAACCAGTCACCATTTTGTGTAATATAATGCTAGAAAATTTGAAACTCTCAGTGTCGCATTGATGAAGTAATCATTGGCAACTTGAGATTTATATTCAATTGGTGATGGATAGAAATACCTACATCTAGTTCTCTTTAATAGTTTTGTTTGACCTTACCATTTCCCATCCCTGAACATCTGTTGTAAACATATGCAAAAATCTATCTTATTGGCGGTATTAATTCGTTTCAGGTACATCATGAACATGAGAGCTCACCACCCTCATTGAAACACTTCGCTGATGAATTGAGTGGTCCCTTGTCCCCAATGTCAGTACCAGCACCGAAGCAACTCAAGTATACACCAGGAATTGCTAATGGCGCCGTTAGAGATTCTGCAGCATTCTTAGATCAGACACGAAAGGTATCCAGTTTTCCCCCATTCATTTACTGTCATAGGAGTTGAGCTCGCATCTAAGAATGGTGCTGTTGATGCAGATGGTACCAATTGGAAACTTGTCGATGAAGAAGTTTGCAACTGTGGGACAAGCTGGGAAACTATGGAGATGGAAGAGAAGTCATCATCAATGGCTGTTACAGTTTAAATGGAAATGGCAGAAACCATGGAGACTTTCAGAATGGATCAGACATAGTGACGAAACAATTATGAGATCAAGGCCTCGACCGCATGCTCTGCCTGCTGGGATGTGATATTTGGTGGTTTCGGGTTCATCGTCCCCAGATATCATTTTTGACTTTCAATTATGATTCCACCTCATGTCACAGGAACAAATTGCAATAAGTGCAGGTATTCTTCATGATTTTCCAATCCATTGCATTCAATTGGATTGAGGTTAGAATCCTGCTAATGTTCCATAGATTTCCCTGGTAAAGTTCACTTGCAATTATGACCCATTGAATGCGAGGCTGCCTTTGAATGCTCATTTTATATCTTAATGACTTCTGATTCATCCATTTGTATCTACTTGAACCTGACATGATCTTTCTCCAATGGCAGCAGCTGAAGTCAGACTTTTGTGATCTCTGCATATTTCTTCAATGGAAAACCATTTTGGTAGATTTGTGATTTTGGATTCTTTTTCGTTGCGGTAATCGCATTCAAAGCATCTTGTAAAGCTTGTTTGGATGCTGCGAAATGGGGTCACCCGACTTGCTAAAGAAGGCCGCAAGTGCGGAACAGGGCGAGCATAGATGTAATGGATAGAGAACTCGCTCAAGAAAGTTTTCTAATGTTTTTTCCCCCTCCTTTGTATATCTTGTCAATAACAAGAAAAGGAATGCAGGAATACGTACGGAAGTTATTTTCCTTTTTTTAGTCATTTGGTCTTTCTTCGTTTTGAGTACAATATTGATTGTTGAAAGAAACTATTAGGCTGGAGGAAAAAAAAAACAGAATTCTTTCTAATATGTTTTACGTCTTTTTGTGTGACACTAATCTTATTACGTGAGGACTGAAGCTATGTAAATGTATTTGTATTGAAGCAAAAGTAGAATCTTTAAATCAATCTTTATAAGTGTACACAGAGTTTGCTTCAGTTGTCTTTTGTTTTCAGAATCTTTTCTAGGTTCTCTTCCAGACGAATCCGACAATGATATGAATGAAATACCTCACTCTTCAAGATGCATTCAAACTTCAAAGGACAAAGATAAACAATCGGTTGACCTATAATTAATCGAGGTACACGTAAGCTGACCTGAACACAGCTGACCTGAACACACAGATATAAAAATAAAAAAATAAACAATCTTGATGGAAATTATAATGGACCTGAACACACAGATATAAAAATAAAAAAATAAACAATCTTGATGGAAATTATAATGGACAAAAAGATTGAGAACATTGTTCCCAAAAAAATATATATAATTTAGCCCTGGTAGTTAAAATCAATTCCTGTCAAAAATTATTGAGAATAGTGATTGAGTTGCGGACATCCAACCAAAACATGGGAATTTGTAGCATCCAATGTTTGAACTGTAGAAGAATAGTGATCGGGTATCAATAAATAAAGATGTGACTTTTTTTTTTTTTTTTGTCGAACTTGAAAAATGGGATCCAAGATGCATCCAATGTTATTCACAATCAAACATGGGGTTTGGTATATAAACCACATAAAATTGGTTGCAAATAGGTATGCAAAGAAACTCTAATGAGATAATAGAGCAAAGATACTTATAAGAATTTTCATCCTGGTAATTTGAACTATATTAACGTTTAACCAAATTGTCAAGCCATACAATCTAAGTATAACTTAATCGATAAAATATTTATTATCATCTCAAAGGTCGATGGTTCAATTCTCTACCCTACAATTGTTAAACTCGAAGGTTAAACTACTAGTACTAGAGTTTCATTGCCACTTTGTCTTTCTTTAGAATGGGAGATTTAGCGATAGCCCTTTCCCACGTGTCATTTGCAGTGAAGGGAGCAACCAGTGAGTCATGGTAATATCCCTGTGGTTCAAGTGCACAAAAACAGTAAATGGGCTACAAAAGGGCTCTGAGAGTATGATCTGAATGGTTCTGATTTTGTTCATTCACTTGGTTTAAATGGTTCAAGAGCAGAATAACCTCTCTTTACAAGATCCAGTATTGATTGCATACATATTAATTCAAGTTTCACCTGGGTGTTGTTATCATCTCAGAGAGCTCAAATGAATAAGTTGATAACCATATTACAATCTTAAACAAGGTCACTGTTTGATCTTGATTTACAAAGCTTCTTTCTTGGGAAAGTAAAGAAAGAAGCTTAAGCAAATATATGTATTCTACTGATCTTTTAGAGAAAGTAAAGCTAACTGAGGATCTCTTTTATCAGCAAGACAAGGGGATACATTTTTTAGTCTGTCGTAGTTGCACTTCAACAAGTAACAATCAAACGACAGGGACCCTTCCAATCAATTAACAAAGTTTTGGAAGTTCATGAATAAAACATTAATTTAAATAGGGGACAAGATACAAGTTGCTACTGGTACTTTTCAGTGTCTCCCTAGACTTGGTATCTCAAAGAAAATTATGAACACAATCGGAGTGAACAAATAATCAAGTATGACCAATATTTTCTGCATGAGAATCAAACAAGAAGAATATGGCAACTACCATTCACCAGACCGTGTTATCTGCAGAAATGCGCAAGCCTAAAAAATGATAAGTTAATACAAAAACAAGAATGAAAATCACTGTTATCACAATACATGCATTTCTGCCCAGACATGGGGAGGGACTGCTCATTGTCCCTTCAGAAAGAAAATTGATGCATCAAAATGATCTTGGCACACCATATTGATCATATTAATACTTTATATTTCTCTCTTGTACAGAGGAAGATGTTGCCAGCTACCCAAGGGAGGACCCACTAACAACAATTGGCGGTGTTGCCAACATAAAAGCAGCTGTGCCATGTACAGAACAAAGACACAAATACAAGTTTTTGGGGATTTTGACTGAAGAGTGAGCATTTATTCTCAACTACAAATTAAATCTGGGCACACCAATATGCATAATGCTCATCCTTGCGATGGTTACTAACAAGACCACCACATCGCAAACAAATAAAACTGCTCCCATCTGAGAATGCATCCATAACAATCTGCATCCTACCAGTTTCCGCCAGTATAGAATTTCCATGAGCATCCATAACTGACGGGCCAGAAATGTTACTTTCTGGAGGCTCGGGGTTCAGAGGCTGGGCTTCAGCTATAGCACACTCTGCAAACAAAGAAGCTAGCTGATCAACATCAGCACTCTCCTGTAATCGAGTTCGGTACAACTCGCGGGCACGGTGCAAAGATTGAAAGACTGCTGCATCTCCACCTTGGGTTCTCATTGCCGTTACAACCTGCAAGGTGGTGAAAGCTATCAACAAAATTTATTGTTCCTATCAGTACTCTAATCGATCGACTCATATGCTTCATCCATGATTTAGCATGTTGAGTGGGGCATTCTGAGCTGACTACAAATGCAAGCATTTCTATTATCCTTTCCTCTTTAAGCTATTATTATAATAGATCTATTAATACCTGGCTCATTCAGAATGATGTACAGAGCTTATGGTATATTAAGTAAAACACAATTCATAACTATATGTACAAGAAACATTGAGATAAACAGACAGAAAGTTCTATAACATTTAAATTCAAGGTGTATGTTCCCCTGTTTCAAAAGACTGTCAACAAATCCGAGTGCAGGTTTTTAGTTCTGACACAGATTCAATATGGCATGAAATCCATCATCCAGCATAAAGATGAATGTAATCTGCTCATGATGACAGATTTATTTTGCAACTGTTCAGAATACCAAATGAAAATTCACTGCAACTTGATTGATACAATCATAGAATCCAACACATGAAAATATCAATGACCAAAACATCAAAGAGAAGGAAACAGCAGTATTCAAATCCTTCTCAAGATTGGCAGGAGTTAGGAGCTTTGTCTGTAAACTGGAAACAGATGATGGTAGACCACACGATTCTGGAGATCTTACTAGAAACAAATGGACTTTCACAGCAACCCCTTCAAGGCCATTGACCAAGATTTTTGGTCAACAATTTCCTGGTCGCCTTGCCTAGTACTCTGCTGAGTAGCCTGGACTGGCTGTAAAGATCACTTTCAGGGATGGAAATCAAGCAAGCTACCCTCAACATTGAGGATAAAAAGGCTACAGAATGTGATGGCTTCTTAGAGGCTTGCTACAGAGAAAATAGGGATGTAAGAAGGGGGACAATTTGGAAGGTATTCTAAGAATTCTATAAGAAAAAAATCATAATCCATTTACCAGTGTGGCTAATACTACTTAATTTCCCGAAAATCTACTCCATTATAACTGAGGTCTGCAGTGCTATTATTCCTGTCAGCGCCATACAAAAGAACAGCAAAATTATTCGCTGCTAGACTTATCATAATTGGGAACTAGCATTTTCATCAATGTAATTCTTCCAAGTACGACCACTAAATGAAGCATTCGAATACATTTTCTCTTCTTTAAACCACTTGTGTTCATAAATTACCCTCTCTCTTGAGCTTCACATATTCCTGTATGTTAATACTATAAAAGATGTATCACTCTAACTTCGGGTTAGCATTTTCAGGGATGGATATAGGCAGGCTGTTCTCCAGTCTGTGATGGTTTTGAATCGGCTTGCTTCAGAGTAAATTGGGATGTCGAAAAGGGGACTCTTTGGTAGGTATTTCAAGAATTTTATAAGAATACGATAATAGTGAGGCTAATACTACCCAACAAAAGTACATCAAGATAAGTATCCGTTGAAGGTGAAGTCTTTTCCCAATGTGGGAAGCGAGGAGGTGAGCCTATATACCACTTGTCAACCGGAACTTAACTGAAGTAATTTAATTTACAGAAACTCAACAATTTATAATTCAAAGATAACCAAGAAGCTAGGTATGTATAAATAAGCAATCACAGAAAGCTTTTGAAAGGACGAGGATAGACCAAAGAAAGATTTCGAGCGGCGAGAACAAGAATTCAAGAGAGAGAAGTTTTTGTTCAACATACCGCTTGGAGGGCTTGGGAAGGGTTTCGTTGATTGATGAATTGACGAGCCAATGTGAGTAATTCCCGGACAGCATCGCCGTCGCCGGCTCTGCTAGACGCAAATTCAGCCTCCATCATGTCCGATTTTGAAGAGTCCACGGCATCATCTTGAACTTTACCTTGAGGTCTTGGTTTATACATGAGAAATCCGGGGCAGAGTTTTTTCCCTTGCGATTATCGGTTTTCTAAGTGGAATATGCTTGCAAATTACTGCGTAGCCAGATGGTTCTAGCAGATTCTGATGAGCACACGCAGGCCCCTCTCTCTCTATAAGTCGATGTGTCGTTCGTAGAGGGATGGGAATATTTTGAAAATTATTTCAAGAATCCTCTTCATGTACGTTATGTGTATGTTACTTTTCATTTCGAAACTTAGAAAACCAAAATAAAAGATTTTCTTTTGAAAAATAATGGTTAACAAATTATGATAAATTCCTTGTATGAAAAGAAAAGTTTCAGAAATTTTGTCGTTCCATGTGAAATGATATTTTTGGTATTTTATTAACAATTATAGTATATAATTTATATAAGAAAAAATTATTGTTGTTGTAAAAAAAATATTTTTACCACCTATTATGTCATCAAGTAACATCAACGCACCTCAAATAAGTTAGAAATTTTTTTTTTTCTGATAAAAGATGAGTTAGAACTTTGATACCAATGTGATTGAAGTTGTAACACATTTTTACCTATTTCTCTTATGTCCTCCTCTATCGTCCACATCCGTTTTTCTTCTAGTACAACAAATATAGAGATTGATGATTAAACCTCCTAACTTCTAAAAAATGAACAAACAAAATGCATTAGTCGTTGAGCTAAATTCATATTAGTCCACGTTCATTTTTCTTTTAATGTCAATAAAACATATTTGATTATACATTAAGTATTTATAATGCTATTTATTTCTAAAGTCTAGTGAGATGGAGAGATTCCACCTTCAAACTTTAAAAAATATTATTCAGAATAATTTATTATCAATATCTTAGAACTACGTGGCTAATTAAAATTATTATTTATAATTTCTCATGAGTCTTTTTTTTTCTTTTTTATAAGGGATTGAACTCAGAACTTTTCGATTGAAAGGCACGTATGGGGAAAAAAGTTTGTGATAGTTGATACCTAACCCTAAGCAGTGATCCCAACAAAGTGGGTAACAACATGAGGTTGGGTGGCACAACCCACCGCCCAGAATTTTCTTACGGCGTGCTGGTCGGAAGAAGGCCGCGGCGTTCTCCCGTGGTGGTCCACGCCATCCGCCACTGTCCGGTGATATTTATTTTTCCATATAGCAGCCGCAGGTATCTCTAAACATCTGCATAATTAGGTTTATACTACAATACAATACAATCGCCATATACCCACGGGAACGGGAAGTATTCA